AGGATAATGGTCTACTTGCAGTAATCGTGGGATGGTAGATAGAGCATGTTTCGTGCGTTGTACTGTGTATATTTTTTGTCCCTCAACCACTCTATTGGCCCATAATGTCAGGCATACCAGTGAGAAGTTAGGCCTACAAGGAAGTCTACACAAGTTATCTCATGACTTGACAAACACAGTAGCCATTGTACCGATAGTCCCATTCCCATAAACCATAAACTGTTCAGATAGTTAGACTTTCGCTCTTCAATGATGAGAGGTTATTGAGCTTTGTCATTATGCTAAGTCACTCTGTAGTGTGTTATGTCACAATGTACAATAGGCTACATGCTACACAGCACGTCTGCCATTGCCATCAGCTCATGTATGCAGTCCGAGGAGGAACTATGGAGGGAAATTAAACTACCATCGGTAGACAATATTGACCATTTGTCTGGCCACGGCCCGAGATGTGTAGAGTTTATTTTGTTATTGTTGTTGACTGTTGTTAGTTAACCAACTTTAAAACTAATTTAACCAAATAAAACGAATAATTTATAAGTAATTGCTTGTTCTCATATACAATACCCAGATATGAAGTTCAAACAGTAAATCTATTCTAAAATTAAAGATAAACATCTAGACAATATCAGCGCAGCCAAACTTCACTAGGCCTATCTTTGACTATTAATACGTCAATGCTAATATCCAACACAGTGACACACATAATATGGATGATAGGTTTATTACCGTTTCAATGATCAAACATACGGCACTCGCTTATAGATTTGCCATCCTTGTGGACCACGTTAAACACCTAAATATACTGTACTTTTACGGGTCGACAAAACACATGTTTAATGCTTGATAATGTTGTCAACGCTTTAAAAAATGATTACTTCATCTTTATTTTATTGTTATGGCCTCTTAGTGAAATTGATTTGTCACGTTGTATTTAATCTGTAGTGCTTAAATATAATTAATTATGAAGTTCAGTGTTTTTGTCTTGACAACATCAAATTTCTATGGAAAACGTTGGAACTCTTATCAAAATAAGTAAGCAGTACCATTCTTAAAGCAGCGTTTTCACCGGAGTAAACATCATGTTTTTAAAAAAACTATTACTAAAATCCAAAGAACACTAGTTTTTTTTTATGCATGGATGTTTTCAACAGTAATTTGGTTTTCCATTAGAAGTCGTAAGCATATATTTACAGCACCAAAGACATTTTTATGACTTTTGTGGGCAACACCTGTTGGCAATATATGTTTTAACATTTTCTTATAAACTCTGAAAGACGGCTCAGTAGTTAACAGTTAAATGTGCACAATGCACATTATAGGAAATTAAACATTATTGATTTACTTATTTAGGTGTTTACAGGGACGTTTTAGGTTACGTAAGCTCTATTTTCTTCAGTAAATAGATATTTCACAGCGAAAAAGAGGTTTAACATTGCTCAATGATGAGTCGAATATGATAAACCTCTTTTCTAAAATCGTGACTTCCAACAAATGGTTAACGATAAACCGATTGCATTGCCCAACTGGTTATTATTGTCGTGTAGGCATTTCCACACCAAATGGCTTTATAACAACTGAAATCATTACTTTGTATTCAGTATTACTGTAAAAAATGGGTATACTATTCATCTTTCCATTATTTCAAAACTACTGATCCACTTAAAAATTGTGAATTCACATACCTTAGTACTGATTCTATGTATAATTCAGTTTTAAAAAACTTTGTACAACTAAATCTAGAGTTCTACTGGACTGATTTTATTAATTAATGGGTTGTTGGAAAGCTTAAGTCGTGTAGATTTGCAAATAATTATGAAAGTTTGTTTTTGTTATGATTTATGGGTAAAAATTAAAAAAAAAACATGTTTCCCATAAGAAATACATTGTAAACGGTGTTTTCACACTTTTTATTTGGGTGCGACTTTTGGCTGCATTTTTTGAGTATTTCCAAGAAGTACATGGTATCAATTTGTAGGAAACTTTATTCTCTTTCAGAATATCACCTTCCACTTTGGTCGATTTCCTCACCGTTTCAAAGTTATTTGCAAAAAATCTAAGCAATCTCCGAATTTATGCAAAGAGTTTTGAATTTTTGAATGAAAGAGGTGCAAGGGATACTCGCTCTGGCTCGTCTACGTTGCGCATTCCTCGTCACAGAACAACTATTTATAATAAATCATTTGTAGTCACAGCATGCCGCCTATGGAACTCTATACCCGATGCCATTAAATCCATAGAAAACCGATCCCGACTGAAGCCGACACTGAAAGAATATTATCTCAACTGGATGGTAGTGGCGTGGCGGGATGGCGTGCGTTAGGCTTAGCTTCTGCAAAGAGTGTATGTGTGTGTGACTGTATGCTAGGAAAAGAAATGTATGTTATGTTGTTTATTATTAATTATGTTACGAAATGTGTATTTTACTTTTGTTCATATCATGTATTATTGTTATTACTATTATTATTTAGAGGTTAACTGTAAGAAAGGACCATGAGGTCCTAAGTTCGCCTCAATAAAGAAGGATTTTCATTTCATTTCATTTCATTTCAATTTATAGTAATGAGAAAATATTGAATTTGGGATATTTTTGTTAAACTTTGTACAACTAAATCTAGACTTCTACTGGACCGATTTTGTTAATTAATGGGCCATTGGAAAGCCTAACTCATGTAGGTATGCAAATAATTATAAAATTGTGATTTTATTAAATTTTTATGGTGAAAAAGTAAAAATAACAAAAATACATTAAAAACTGCCTTTTTCAAGTTTCTGTTTTTAAGATTCTATTTGTAGCCAGCTTTTGGCTGCCTTTATTAAGTATTAACAAGAAATGTATAGTAGTTATTTGTAGTAAATTTTATTCTCTTTCAGAATATCACATCCACTTTAGTAGATTTTTCCTCCATTTAAAAGTTATTGGCAATAAGCTAAGTGATCTCCAAATTTATAGTGGTGAGAAAATACTGAATTAAATATAATTTCGTTAAACTTTGTACAACTAAATCTAGACTTCTGCCGGACTGATTTTGTTACTTAATGGGTCGTTGGAAAGTCTAATTTGTGTAGATTTGCAAATATTTATGAAATTTGGATTTTATTAGACATTTGAGGTGAAAAATAAAAATAAACAATAATACATTTAAAACTCATTTTTCCAAGGTTATATTTCAAAGTTTATATTTGTAGCCAACTTTAGGCTGCCTTTATTGAGTATTTTCAAGAAATACATAATACAGTAGTAATTTGTAGGATATTTTATTCTCTTTCAAAATATTACCTTCCACTTTGGTCGATTTCCTCACCGTTTCAAAGTTATTTGCAAAAACGTTAAGCAACCTCCCAATTCATAGTGGTGAGAAAATACTGAATTAAAGATCTTGTTGTTAAACTTTGTAAAACTAAATCTACAGTTCTACTGAACCGATTTTATTAATTAAAAGGTCATTGGAAAGACTAATTTGTGTAGATTTTCAAATAATTATAAAAGTTTGATTTTTTAAAGATTTACTAGGTGAAACCCGTCATAGTCGACAGTTACTGTTGAGGTTGCAAGCAAGATCGTTTGACTATAAATCGATCATAAATAACTCCATTTTTTGAACAATTTGTGTTGTTCGTGATTTAGCTGTGTGCTTTAGGTACGTCTGATCTTAATAATCAATAAATCAAATGAAAGCTGGTATTTCTCTAAGGTTTTTAGACCAAAACATATAGGGTAATGTAATTAGAACTGCTGGAATACATCTTTAATTGAAGTGAAAAAAAATCAAATTAAATTTAAATTCTTTTGTCGAGTAATATATTAGATAAACTGATGATGATGCTTGATGACAAATATGTGCTTGCATAGCTTTATTTTAAAACCAAAATTATGAAAATCAGGCGGGTAGAAGAGCTAAACGAACTAAAACAAAAAAAAAAATTAACTCTCATAAGAAATGTAAGATAGGCAGTTTGTTCTCAACTCAAAATATACGTCAAAATGAATGCCGATGCTTGATGGCAAATCTGTGGTACCGTACGTCCATACCTTTAGTTTAAGGCCAAAATTATTAAAATCGGTCTGGTAGAAGAGCTAACCCGACTCGGAAAAGAAAAACCAATAATTTTTATAGATGACAATAATTGGTTTACCAGTATGCATAATCTAATCATACGAGACATGTTAATAATTCAACAGCTTATTGTTATCTAATTGATTTTTCTTTGATTAATTGTTGTTGTTAACAATTTTCATTTGTGTTTAAAGTGTGTTCCTTATGTTAAGTGTGTGATTCTAATATTATGTGCTTTATCTGTACCATTAATATTAGTGAGTAAAGTGGTGTATGGATTTCATAACCATTATTTTACTAGAGGCCGTTGTATTTAACTACAACGGGCACTGTTGCTAGTTTTCCATAAGAATAACATGGGAATTTTAAATTTTTCAATATTTTGGAATTTTCTCTGTAACCGTTAGGCGCAGCTTCAATATACTCAATTATTTGGTTTTTTTAAGTTCTACAATATGGTTTGAAAAGAATTTGCTCTTTTTGTTTTTAGGGTCAAAAATGGGGAAAACCAATTTTTACCCCATAAAACTCCCCATAAAATTGGTCGTGAGTTCCCACCATGCTGGTTCGCGAACTCGTTTGAATAAATGTAGGTTTGTACCAAATTTCATCAAAATCGGATAATATTAGCTCGAGTTATCGCGCTAACGGACACACATATATGAATTTGAACGAATGGTGTTTTTGGCCTCTAGGGACCTCAAAACGAAAAAGTAAATTGGTCCTGGGTCCAGGTCTTACCATGAGTACTATGGTAATAGCTTATTCCCTATATCGGAAATTCGCTAAAATTAATGTTCAAGCACTCATAAAAATTGAAATGTTATTAACAGGTGTAGACGGAGCAGCCTCTTGTTAGCCCATCTCTCTCTTCGAATAGCTATTTATTTAATTTAGCCGTGAGTACAATAGGACAATAGCTACATTCTTGCAACTACTTACCAACAGCATCTTTTGCCAGCTTAGGCATCATGTGGTACCCATGGTGCTTCGGCTCCGGAGGTATATCGTTGCCTTCCTCGTCCTTTTCAGTGGACTCCACGGAACCCCGGTCGGATTCCACGGACCGCGATAGGGGTTCGTCATAGTCGTAGAGTTCCGCGGTGGTTCCTGACATGATCCTCACGGGGGCGACTCCTCCGAGGAGCAACAGCATGACGACCAGAGGCAATGGAGACATGTCGAACTACTGGAGATGGAGGTGACAGAACCTGCGGTGTGGACTATGACACAACAGCGGCTGTGCAGCTGTGGAGGGAGGTACACTGTAGATGTCTGACTGGATGTGGGCCGCGGACCTTTAGTATCCAAGACTGACATTGGGTATGTTTGTGTTGGGTGAGTTCGACCAATATGTGATTGTGGAAAATCATCATCTGCTAATATTTAAGCTAAGTAATCGAACAGTCAATGGTAATACGGTAGTTCCTTTTAAACATCTTACTATAATACCCCCGCCACAGCAAACCTGCAGACTAAGCGAATTTCCATTATCCTGATAGGATTTACACTGAAATGCCTCCTTAAAAATATCACATGTATTCCCTATTTAAATGGAATTAGTTTAACGAGTACTTAGGTTTGCTGCAACAGGGAGTGTACAGTATAAAGGTTTTTTGTAAAATGTCAATAGTTTAGTAAAAAATGAATGTATTTTCCAAATTCGATCACAATATGTTCATAAACAAGCAAACTACAACAGTTGACTTATTATTCGTAAGAATAGCATAGTAATTTTAAATTTACAATGTTTTGGAATTTTCTCCGTAACCATTAGGTGCTCAATAACTCTTAAAGATACAAAATTATTTGTTTTTTAAGCTCTACAAAATGATTTGGAAAGAAATTTTGTGTTCTAGGGTCCAAAATGGGAAAACCCTATTTTCGCCCCATAAAACCCTCCATAAACCCCCGTTCCCATAGTCCGATCATGCTGGTTCGCGAACTCGTTTGAATAAATATAGGTTTACACGTTTGTTCAATATATTATATGAATTTGAACGGATGGTGTTATTGGCCTCTAGGGACCTCAAAATGAAAAAGTAAATTGGTCCCGGGTCCAGGTCTTACCATGAGTACTGCGGTAATAGCTTATTCCCTATATGGGAAATTCGCTAATGAAACGACATCATTTGCAGTCTGCTGGACCAATGTTACCTAATTTTATTCAAAGTGTAACAAAAATTTGTAAAACAATAGATTTATCAAATTGTAAACCAAATAACGTGTTATTGCGAGTTAAAATCTGGAATAAAGGATGAAGAATACTTAATTTTCCATAAAATAAGTTTAACTAGGCCTATTACAGTTATCAAGATGTCAAGGTAAGTTTAAATGGGTGGCTATGGCTGTTTTACATTTAATTTAACATACCCATGTATAGTATTTACGAAATGTATTTAGTATTAACAAGTAAAATCAACATGTTACTTTACAATATATAGTAGTTTGTTCATTTGTTTGTCATATTTACGGTTAATATCACTCGTGATTTTAGTTTAAGAATCAATGTTTTTTAACATGTTTTTGAAACACTGACAGATTTATTCCTATATACTGTGCATAATTCTATATAAAATGTGTGGAACAAAAGATGTATGTAAAATTTCCTGTATTGTATTGTAACTGATGTGTATACAGTATAGCCTACTTGATTAGTTTGTTGGAATAAACAACCAAAACAAAATTTTTTCAGACATGATTTTGAGCTAAGAAAATCTGTCTGTTTTTATAAAAGTAGGTCAACAACTAACTTTTCTTTCTTGGAACTTATAATATTTGTTACATTGAATTCTAGATAGTATGGTCATGTATCAGTGATTGACTTTGTCTCTTTGCAGACATGACTGACGATTTCTTTGTGTCCCCAAACATAATTTTACATCAAGGAGATGAATAGCAGGATATCTCCACTGAACTCAACACAAAACACACAACCTTCGCTTCATTGTCGTGGTCGTGGAATCAGTGTACCTAAATGTTATGATTGTGGAGTAATTTCATATAAATACAGTAAACAACAGGGATATGGTTCACAAGCTGTACCAGAAACCATTTTAAGGATATAGTGTTACAATTTTTAAAATAGATTTTAAAACAACCAAGTTCCAGACCATCAACTTTAACAATTTATTTTCAGCCATAGTTTACATTGTGTTAGATGTTACTACTTTTAGATTTATATACAGTTTATTACTGAACGCTAATTCATAAGAAACTAGGAAACACGCGCGGCTCAATGAGCCGCATAGTAGGAAACACAACGTTGAGGAAAACTTGCTGTTTGATGTTAATTGAAGAAAGATTATTAGAGTTGTCTGAAAACTTGATAGAAATTGAGTTTTAGTCGTAAAGGTTCACGTACATTTTTGTTCTCAGTTTTGACTGATTACTTCTAATGAATGCTAAACATTCTCCTTAAATACAACATGTCTGTAATATATTGCGATATAGCTTTACAGTATGAAGATCTGAAGACAATTAATTGTTTCCTTACCGATAATCTGTGTAAAGCAAATTTTAGTTGGGCCAAAAAGATCGAATTAGAAATAGCTTAAATATTACGATTTTTACTTGTAAAATGGGGTAGAATAAGGCAGAAGCGAGTCAGGTTTCTAGCATGGGTCTCTTCTAAATTAACATACATACCAAATTTCGTTAAGATCGGTTGAAAACATTCAAAGATAGAAACACGTTCATGTAAAAACTACAAAATGGTGAATATCTGATTAACGAAGCAATTTTGTAAAAAAGTTATTCTCGATTTTCTTTTTATTTTGACTCAAGGAATCACTACGTAAATTATTTCCCAACCTTTTTTGAACACCTTGTGTATATAGATAGATGTTTTATTTTATTTCCAAACCAATTTTGTACTAAAAGAAAATAAAAAATGTTTTTAAATTAAAGTCTCAAGGATATCGAGATCACTGGGGGAACTATGAGCCGTTTCACTGTATTATTTTTTATAAGTGTAAATAATATATTATTAGAGTTGTCAGACCTATGTTATTTCAATACCTAATAAAAATAACCCTCGAACTATCATACTTCCAAATTATTCATTATTACTGTCGGGTTGGCTAGTTGTGGATGTTTATCATGTTCATGTATAACAGTTAGTTATGAAATGTATTCACAGTCGGTGCATTGGTGACACTGCTCCACCGCCGGCTTCACAGCTGATCGTTGACCGCGGCCGCAGCCATGTTGACATAATCACACGACTGTCACAGCTGACGAGGTTAGATAACCATTTGTTCCAGTCTACTTGCTGATATTCGGCGCTAGGACACTGCCATTTTTATTTCACGTTCATTTGTGTTTTGGGCAAACCTTTGTTGAAAGCCTGTGTAAAGTACTTGAAGGGAGCTCCAACAGTGTTCTCTTCCAGTTATTTTTTTTCGTTAAGATAAAAAACATAACTCTAGTGATGATGAGAAATAATTATATAAACAGATGGAAATTTTGTAAATTTTGTTTTGGCCCCACAAATCGTCATATTCAAACACAGTAGAGTAACGAATTTACAATTCCTTGGCTCGCAAATTTCTGCTAGAATTTAGGTGTAAAAATAACTAAGGCTTTTGGTATTGAAATAGTGGTTTATATGTGACGGGATTTCAGGATGCATGACTTTATTGTAGAATAAATGAAGAGGTTACCTTAGAACACTTTTCTAAAGATGGTTGGATAGAAGATTTCTATATGTCTGAGTAATTCACCTAACATGGTTGGCAAACAGGCCACCGGTCATAATAAACTATGTGAACATTTGTGGTTGTTGTAGGTATTTTGTTGGAACATTGAACATTAGACATTAAAATTTGCTTTTAAAGATCATTAAACTGCTTAAAAAAAATTCATTTTCTCCGGGACTCCCCTTCTAGCGTGATTCCGTGAAGCACCCTTGTTAGCACCCCATCTCTTGACAGAGTCCTAGAACCGCCACTATCCCGGCATTCATATTCACAACAAGCATATTTTATTCACACGTGTGTGCATCATACTCCCGAATGAATGTATTATGTAGTCTGCAAGACACCAACGTTGCTTAGTTATCTGCAAAACAGAATCGTGAATGAGTCATTCTAAAGCTCGGGTCCCCAGAGCGGGTTTTGTCCTTTGTTGCGTGGACAGTGGATATAACATGCAGATCTTTCTTTTTTTCGAGCATTTCCTTCTTGTTTGCCTTTTATATTTTGGTTTTCCAAATTATGTGTTGCTTTCACTCATTCAGCTTCCCGATGATGCACTATCTTGTTATGTTTTGACTTCTTTCCAAGTCTTTCGAACTCAGGCGGATTAAACTTTTTGTCTATGATTAAACATACTAAAACGTCTTTAAACTTCTGTTTTGGCCATCTATAGAAAATATTCACAATAATCCATTAAAGAAAATTCATTACGAGGTTGACAGTTGTGGCAGGGTAGAACAAGGAGGGGGGAGGGGGGGGTAGTTGACCAACCGCGGTGCACGGTCCAGTGACATGTCCTTCGATTCGACGCACACTGCTAGAAACTGCAGGTTTGTGACAAAACAAGCAGAAAACTCACATTTCCGCTAAGAGTTGGTCCACTGTTGACTCACGGCACCACCTTGGTCAACCTTGGTCGTCAAGGGTTGAGGTTAAAGCTGAACTGTTGTAGGAGTATCCGGCTAAAATGCTTTAAAGTGAAACAAGTTACAAGTGTTCATAAGACTGATTTGCTAATGCTGTTTACAGGCATAGTTTTTGATTATTTGTAGTTCATGAAACACTATTTTTGCCATTGTTTTTTTTTCAGAATGTCTTTGAAGATTTCCGATTCAAATAGTAATTTACAAAGATTTGCAATAGAAAAACGTTTGACACGTTTCACAAACTAGGGATCACGACGAACAGATTGATATACTGTAGTACAACCAATGTTACAGTACACAGTTGAACGCTTTCAATAATGTCTCTCGCACAGATAATAATATGGTCGATAAATGCGTCACAACGCTTTAAAACTTATATAAATCATATAGTTTAGTTTATAACTCATTAACTCAACACGCACATAAACCTAGATATCTCTTCGTAGAATACGTCCCTGAACCTGGCACATTTTTTCTTTGTAGATAAACGAGCAAATAGTCTACGTCCAAACGACTGACTATTGGGCAAAAGAAGAATTTATAGATAATAAATCATGACCCGGAAGAAAGGTCTAAAGAATGAAACGGCTCAAAATAGGTTCATTTTGAGGAAGGACCAATTACCAAATTTATGACCACAGG